TCTCTCTCTCTCTCTCTCTCTCTCTCTCTCTCTCTCTCTCTCTCTCTGTCTAGCACCATAGAGCACTATGTCTGCATCTCCTCTTTTTCCTTTCTTCTTCTCTTGCTTTCTTGCTGTATGCCCCAGTCTCTGAGGGTTGGCTATAGGAAAAACCCACATAGGAAACCTCTGCTGTCCTCTAGGTGAGAACAAAGGAGGAATTTTTGTGGGTGGGATAGGAAGTGGGGAAAGAAGGGAAGGGAAAGCCACAGTGGGGTACAGTGATGCACAAGGTGTTGGGGTTGTTCTGATTTTCCTAAGTCCTGGAGGAGCTCCCATTCAGCTGAAGCCAGGGGTAGAGTTGGGGAGAGGACTCTTGGAGAAGGAGAAGGGGGCATTGGATGCTGGACAGGCAGTCCACTGCGCATGACCTTGAACATATTCATAAAATAAACTCATACTTCCCAAACATTTTTTTCCTGCCTCATCTAGGTATTCACTGCTTCCTGGGCATTTCCTGCTTCTTATTCCTCTGCGCCTGTAGGCATGCTGTTACCCCTGCCTGAAATGTCTTCCTTCCTGTACCTTCTGGTAATCCTTATTTTATCCTGATAATTTTTCAAGGCCTGGCTCAGATACAGCTTTCTCAGTGAAGAGTCTTCCCTATTCGGACTCCATTGCATTTTCTCCATGTGCATGGACAGCACCGTGTACTGCATTATTATGAATTGTTCATGTTTTCCTACATGCCAAAGATTGGGCTTCTTAAGGGCAGAAACTGTGTCTACTTTCTGTTTCAGCACAGGACGTGTATCTGGAAGAAATCAGAAATGCTTTGATTTGATTTAAACGACCTGTTTGGGGTCTGTTTGTGGCACAGCTTAGATTTTGAGTTGATTGGTGGAGTTTTCTGATAGAACATTAGAATAGATCGTGAGCTTCCTGCCCTCAAAGTCGTTCCCTTTTTGTTCCCCCCTCGTTACCTCCTTGCTGTTGGTTCTGCAGCTGCAACCCTGGGTGTCCCCTCCTTGCCGGGTGCGAGGCCCCATGCTTCCTCTCTGGTGAATGTGCTGGAAACAGCTGCTTTGTCCTTTTCTCATTTCGCAGGATCCTCAAAGGTGTGAGGGACATTTTATTAACATTAGTTAATAAACAGAAGTGTCAGAAAAGAGTTACAGAATCAGACTGCCTTTCTCTGCACGATAGACCCAGTGACCACAGTTTCTAGCAGAGTTGGTTAAGATTATAACCTTTCAGTGAAGGCAGTGTAATTAGGGAGGAAAAGTGCTAGACTTGGAAATGGAAGGCCAGTTCAAATTCTTAATTCTGCCTGTATGTTCTTTGGAGTCCTGAGTTTGCCTGCACACTATGAGACGGCAGCTGAATGTGTGAGATGTTGTCGCTTCTAGGCCCACGCGTGGACAGAGCTATGAGACAGCTGTGTGCACACACATATTTCCACATATGTACACCTATGTCTGTTTGTCTGTCTCTACTTGAAACCATGAGTTTACAGTGATTTCTCCAATTACAGTCCACTATCACATGGTCGATTCTAGCCTTCGACCTTTCCTCTCCTCTCTGCTAGTGAGAAATCGGGCTCCTTTATCTTCAGTATATTTACTTATTTGTTCAATCCCTTGGTAGGTAAACAGTGTCCCCACCACATCATCCATCTTTCTGGCCAGCGCCACCAACTCAGACCTGCCTGTTTTGGCTGCAGATTTCTTTTGGGCCCTGGTGGTGCTGCCCGAGCCCCTTCTCTGCCCAATTTGTTCTGTTATAAATGTGCTTTCAAAAGATTTTTTTTTTTTGTAGGCCTGGAGAATTCTAAAGCAACCTGTGTTCTTGCTGGCTCAGATCACTCAGCTTCATTGACAGGTAAGGACCAGCTCTCCGAGTCTAACGTGCCATTTGGAGTTCTGTGCGTTTCTTTTGGGACACAGAGGGAAGAGCGGAGACTTGGAGTCAGGATTCTACTGCCAGCCCTGGTCTGATCTTAGGAAGTCACTTTACCTTCCGAGACCATTGCCTTTATTGTGTACTCTGTGGGTAGTTTAGAGAAGTAAAGATGACAATACATGTAAGGCGTCCACATGAAGGAAACACAGGCTCACTTCCTCTCCTCTCAGCTGCACAGTAGGGACAAGAATATCCCTCAGGGTAGTTTTGATTGCAAAATTCCACAGCCAGCAGTTAGTTTGTGTAGCACATTGTTACCTGACCCACCGGATCCATCTGGGGTCTAATACAGCTGTCTATTCCCTCTAGCTGCTTGCTCTCCGACTCACCTGTTCTATCCACCTCTGTCTTCCAGGGCATTTAGCTATCTCTCTGCTCTGTCTGTTTTCATCGACTCTTTGTGTTTCTATTTATCTCCATTTTTATTTACCTTTTTACTTTGTATCTTCCTTTCTAATCTCTTTGTATATCTTTCTAAATTGAGTCATGCACGTATTTCTCTATTCTATTTTGTATTTTTATGCATTTCTGCAGTCTGTTTCATCTCTTTGATCCCTCCGTCTCTCTGTCTTAATCTGTTTTTCTCTCTCACACTATATCTCTCTTTGGTTATGCATCCTTCCATCCATTGGACATACCTCACCAGTACAGTACTACTTTCCAATGACAAAACAGCATCTTCTTGGAGGTGAAGATTATCTCTTCGAAAGATTCTCTTTCAGAGCCAAGACTGCCCTGATCCCTACCAGTAGACTGAGACAGGAGCTCTGAGAGATTCATTTTGGCAAGACTGGAGCTGAAGGCAGGACCTTTTTTGAGCAAAGGGGAATGACTTTCATACATAGTGTTTTTAGTGTTTTATGGGGAAATTAAGGTGTATGTGTACATAGGTACACAGTATGGGTAATAAACGGTGACATGCATTCTTCAACGTCAAATGTGTAATGCAGTCCAACCAACAAGTTGCTACTGTTTCCAGAATACAAAAGCCACAATGTGAGAGTTTAAATACATTACAAATTCTAAACTGTGGATAATTTGTTATTTAACAAATTCAAATAACCAACTAACAAAAGAGATACCTACTTTTAGCCTTTGTCTCATATTAGGTAGACTTACATATATGTTAAAAGGGTTGAGTTGAAGTGAATGCCAAGTATAAGGGAGGCCCCTGGCCATTTGGCTCCATCTCTCCTTTTGTAGAGGAAGGGCTGGAGGCCCCAGGGTGAGAAGTGACTAGTTCGTGCCCCACAGTCAGTGAGGGTTGAGGAAGGCATTCTTTTCTGAGAATAGGAGTATCGTAAGAGACGTTTCTACTCTATCCTAATCAATTTGAAATGGCCAGCATTATGTAAACTTAGAGATTCTCTAATTGCTTGCTAACAATTTCTTCAAAAATCTTATAATTAGTGAAGTTATTTATTATTTCATATGTGGAACACTTATGGTGTTTTTATTTATTTAGATATTTTTAAAGATTTTATCTATTTATTTGATAGAGACAGCGAGAGCAGGAACACAAGCACGGGGAGAGGGAGAGGGAGAAGCAGGCTTCCCGCTGAGCAGGGGGCCCGATGCGGGGCTCGATCCCAGGACACTGGGATCATGACCTGAGCCAAAGGCAGCCGCTTAACCGACTGAGCCACCCAGGCGCCCCTTTTACGGTGTTTTTAAAACATAGATGTTGAATTTTTGTTTTATTGAGATATAATTCATATATAAAATTCACCCCTTTAAAGTGTGTAATTTAGTGATTTTTAAAGTATATTCACAAAGGAAATTGGTTTTTGATATTTTGAAAGTGACTTAAAAATTGTCAAGATTAATCTCCCTCCTTCCTGGTCTAGTTCAAGCTGTTACATGTTAGATTTTGTTCATTGCTCTTTAGACCTTCTCTCTGGAGTTGTGGAGGTTATATAACTATTTGGCATTGCAGCAGAATGTAATTTTGCCTGCTGATGCAACAGTGTAATGATCCGCATGTGGAAGACAGTTTGTCTTTGCAAAAAGCTGGCCTAGACTCTCTAAGATAAATGGAGGCTTATTACAGACCCGGGCTCACCATCAGTAGCAGCTTGGTAGCCAACCGGTCCATTAAATGGGTTGAGACTTTGCTGAGGGGCTTCTCTGCCCTCTTGTAAGGGATCTTCCTACTTTGTACACTCTGGCAAAGTCCATGGAGGTTGCCCTCTCTCAGGGCATGAAGTACACCAAATTCACATCGTCGAACTGCAGGATGTCAGTGCTACAAGGTCAACTGAGTGACGGAATGGCTCCACTGACTTAGACTCCCCCATCTTCGACCTGATGAAACAAGCCTGGCATGTGAAGTGATACACTGGTGTCAAAGGGCGATGGAGTAGCCGCTCTTGGACTGGAACCCCGAATCTTGGTCTGGCGTCCTTTAATGATACTGTTTGGCTTTATATCAGACTTCCCTATGGCAAGCAATGCTGGAAAACTTTTCTGGGAGGTCACAAAACGCATTTGGAAGCAGAGGACTTGGCTTTCTGTTAGCCATGTGATCTTGAGACTCATTTAACATCTCCAAGCCTTGATTAATTTAGCTTCTAGAAGAATGCTGTCTAATAGAAATATGTGAGCCACATTTCAAAAAATAAAAAGCAGGTAAATTAATTTTAATAATATCTTTTATTTAACCCGATATACCCACAATATTATTTCAACCAGTAATCAATATGAAGGTTATTAAGGAACTACGTTCTTTTTCGGTTTTTTTGTGCTACGTCTTTGCAATCTGTTGTGCTTTTATTGTTTGACAACGTATCTCAGTTTGGACTGGCCACATTTCAAGCGTTCAGGGACCACGTGCGTGTGCTGTGTGCTCTATGGTACAGTGTAGAAATGTGGAATGTTAGGGTTGGTTGGAAAAGCTCTTAGAGATCATTCAGGGAGTCACAAACTGTAGCTTCACGGGCCAAACTGTGTAGCTCATGGCTCCATTTGGTCTGGCTTCCAGTTAAAAATGCTTTTGAACTTGAATGCCTTTTAGAAAAGCATGTGCCGTGAGGCTTTCCACTGTGGCCCACCAGTCTGTCTTGTGGCCCGTGTCATCAGTTACACGGTCTGCCCTTCGAGGCCATCCACCCTGCCCTCTGATTTTCAGCTGGTGAAACTAAGGCTTAGGAAGTGATTTGTCCAAGGTCAGTAGCTGGTTAGCAGGTCCAGGAATAGAAGCCAGAGCCACTTGACTGTGATTTGCTTTCTTTCTGTTAATTCACAGTGTCAGTCAGTGGCGTTTCTGCTTATACCTCAGGACTACCATGAGGTTCAAATGAACTATAGTGCTGTGCATATGGGAGGTAGCAGCATTCTGTTTTCTGCTGGACAGGACATGTTGTGAGATAATCTTGGGTCTGAAAAGTTTATGCTTAAATAATATATCTTTTAACCTGTTATTTTAAGAAAAGTTAATATATATTTTTCCTAACCAAAGGCAATGTAACCATGTTTTTTAAAAAATGGAGAAAATGGAGAAACATGTTTTTCTCATGGTAGATGTTTAATAAATATTTGTTGAATGAATTAATGAAAAAATAAACGTACACGTTCTTATTCCTTGACAAACTAAGCACACTTGGCTTGTTTCCTGTTTATAGAATTAAAAACAAACATATGTTAATATGCTAGGCATGAATTTTGTATCCTGCTTTGCTCTACTCAGTGTCATAGCATAAGAATAATACAACCTCTCTTAACCACTTTTTTTTCAGATTTGTGTTATTTCCCATCATTTTGAACTAATGTTCCTTCACCTCTTTTGTTCCCCTTCTGTTTGTTTAAGATGCAGGAGAGCTGTATGTTTGGGGAAGCAACAAGCATGGGCTACTAGCTTCCTTGGCTGCTTTTCTTCCTATGCCCCAGAAAATAGAAGCACATTGTTTTCAGAATGAAAAGGTCACTTCTGTTTGGAGTGGGTGGACACACCTGGTTGCTCAGACAGGTGAGAGAGCAGCAGAGAAATTGTGGTTGGTAAAAACAGTGGGGGTGGGGGGGTAGGGATGGGAGGACAGCTGTCTAAACAGCTGTGAATGCTCAGGACTAAGTAGGTGGGTTTTTACTCTGAAAAGCTCTATGGATTGGGATGGGGAGGATCTGGGATCGAGTTGTGCAGTCAGCCAGATATGGAGCATTTCCTTTCTGGATCAGAGGTTTACATCCAAAGAGGCAGGGCTAGGTTAGATGGACTCTTTCTGGCCCTACGAACCCGTGAGGTTTTGAGAAGGAACCCATTGTAGCAAGCATCACCCAGAAGTTTGTCCGGGTTGTTGGGGAGTCTTTGCCTTGTCCTAGCTGAAGAGATGCCTCTACTTGCATTTTCGCCTGAGTCTAAATTAAAAGCTTCCGAAACTTAAAGATTAATATTTCAAGATTGAGGCAGGAACATTACTTCGAATCATGGCTGGCATGGTATTTTGATTATTTACGTTTCCATTAACCCTAACAAACCACATACACTGATTCAGACATCCCTATATCCCCTCAGATGTTACCTTATGGTGCCACGCCATCCAGCTTCTGGCATCTTTATCTTTTCTTGAGTCTTTATTTATTTCTTACCTTTCCCTTACGGCAAGTCTCCTTTTGTGGTCTTCATATTGCTGATTTTGTTCTCTGGGTTTGTTTTTTTATGGCCTCTCTTCTTCTCTGCCTTCCTAGAGCTTCTGCTGACTTACGTAGAGTTTCCCAGACAGGCCATTTCTAATTCTTAAGATCTGTGATCATGTCAGAGCCTCCTGAACTTCAGGGGTTCTCAGGAGTCCCCTTGCCTGCCCTTGGCCTGCTCGTTAGCTGCACACGGATCTCCAGACTCCCAAATACCTACCTAGTGACTATTAGTTACTTCAGTGCCTTCTGGTGTTTGTCGGTTTTCAGGTCCGCTTCAGTTATCCCTGGCAAGTCCCACCTACTACACGTTGGAACACACAGACATACACTTGTGAGTCTTCATATCTATGAGGCTTTTCGTTGGTCTTTGAAAAAATTTTATGACTATTTTGGAACAGAGGCCTGTATAACAAAGGTGTAAAATAAACTTTCCATATTGACCACTTCAGAGGATTCTCTAAAGGGGAAAATCATGACTTTCCTCAGGGAGGTTCAGACTGCTAGAAGATTGGGACTAGCTACAGAAACTCTTCTTAAGGAGACTCACTGAGCGCAGTAATTGTGTATTTGTACAATTGTTAATATTTGCCTTTGACCTAGACAATGAGCTTTATGAGGGATAGCACCATGTTAGTCTTGTTCACTTCTGTATCTTCACATTCTAGTTAAAAGAGAGTAAATATCTTCAAATACATATGAGTCAAGGTAGACAGCTACGATTTCTGACCTCTTTCCTCGGTCTCACTGGTTCATGAACAGAAGGCTTCAGTTTGTCACTTTGTATTCACGAGTCCAACCAAATCAGTTATTGTTTATTGGGAACCTATTGAGCAATGTGGTGAGTGTTGGGGAAAAGACCTGGGCTATGCCCTCCCTAGAACGTGTGGACAGGCCTGAGTGTATGAATATAGACATGGAAGACTTTATCATCCATCCGTATGTCTGTCCGTCCATCCATCATACAAATGGTGGGGATCTATTTATGTACCACACCTTGTATAGATATAAACCCTGCCCTCAGGGAGCCCCCTGGCCACTGGGGGAGACCGACCTGTTACCCAGTTTCGGTACATTGCTGTCGGAGACATGCCGTGACAGAGCTAGGTACAGCATGCAGAAGGGGCATAGAAAGGAGCAGGAGTGTGAGTAACTGGGTGTTAACAGGTGGGTGTTTCATGGCTAGTCAGTCTTCAAAGAACTACCATGCAGTCAAATACACTTACCACCAAATGGCAGTGAGTCTGGTTGAGTCTGTCAGCAAACCCTCTCACTAGTTAGGTAGCTGACGAACGAAAGACGCAAAGATGCTGCTTCTTGGGGGCTAGCTGTGTAGCATTGTAACCGACACCGATTTCCACCCTCGGGGTGGGAGGTTAGAACCCATGGCCCTGACGCTGTCTGAGTCACCTCAGCTGCTCTAGAGCTCGGCTTCCCGTCACCACCCCCACTTCACAGCGAGCTTTTTCGGTAATGTTTCAGCTGTTTAATTAATTTGTTAATTCAAATCTCTTGTTTATGTACTCTGTCACTTTCCCCTTTCTCCTTAGTCCAGAACGGTTGTAAGCTGGGGTGTCTGAGTGTCCTGGCTCTTGTACCAAATTTGGGTAAATGGGAGTCTCCTGCTCTTTGACTCACCGATTTGATGCGCCTTCTAGTGGCAGGGGAAGCTCTTGCCCCGGCCCAGCGTCACTGGGGAGAAACACCCAGGGCTTCCAGTTCAGTCAGACTCAGCTGCTCATATTAATGGGAACAAGATTTGCTCACAGGGTCAGAGGCAGCTCATTAGTGGAACAAGGATTTATTTGGCTCTGGTTGTTTTTACAAGCACCAGTGGTGAATTGCTCCTGGGACTTACCTGCAGGCCACACCAGCAGCCTGCTCTCAGGCTCATTCTGGAAGGCACTCATTGTGTGATATTGATTAAAAGAAGGATTTCTGCACACTGCCCATCTATCTGTCCAGTTAGATGGGATGGGAGGGGGTGGGTTAGGAGAAGAGAAAGAGGAGTGGACTCTGCTTTCTCCCACTCTGCACAGTCCCTCAACCAGTGCTTCTCAACCCCAGGCCGTTTTGTGCCTCAGGGATTGTTTGCAATGTCTGGAGACATATTTGGTTGTCACAGCTGGGGGGCGCTACTGAGATCTGGTTGGTAGAGGCCAGGGATGCTGCTGAACCTCTTGCAATGCACAGGACAGTCCTCCACAGCAAAGAAATACCTAGCCCCAAATGTGAGTCTTGCCAACATTGAGACGTGCTGCCCAAGACTGCCCTGCATCCCCAGTGGTAGGTGCTTACCTAGGGCAGTTCACACAGTATCGGGATAACTTTACAGCTGGTGTGTTTGGGCATCTGGGATGTGGTCTCTGCCCTCCCCCTTCAGGAGTCGGGTGCCTGCCTGCAGTGTTTGCGATGGAAAAATACTTTTCTCTGTTAGTCAGAGGCACTTGGAAAGAGTCCAAGAGAACCTGTTCTAATCTGGGAAAGTTGGCAAGGATACCTGTGTCTCAGGCTGGAGGAGCTGCATTCTAGAAACCTTTCCCAAGCTGCTTAATGTCCCTGATCATTGTTCTCAGGAACTTCGCGGGACTCCTGGGTGACTTTATCCAGGCTCAGTGACCTGCAACCGTCTCATCCCAGAGTCCTGATTTCCTGGCCCAAGATACTTCTAGTGAGATCTGGGTGGCAGATCTGGGTGCCTTCCTAGCTTGGCAGCCTTGGTCAAGTCCCTTTACCTGTCTAGGCCTCAACTTGCTCCTCTCCCAAGTAGGATATCAGAACCTGCCTGCATTCTACATAGGGCTGCCGTGAGGGTCAAATGAGTGGATCTGTGTGAGAGATCCCAACTAACTGTAAAATGCTGTCCACACCTAAGTGAGGGGTGCCTGTGGTTAGGATATGTGAGTGTATTAAGGAGTGAGCAAGACTTTTAGAAACTTGTATGTCGACAGGGTCTGTGCAGGGCTTGAGACATACCAGCTTTCTCCCTGAGGGCTTATGAGCCGGCCGGAGATGCTCAGTGTCCAGCTCTGAGAGGGAAAGTTTCCTAAAGTCTTTCACTTACACGCGGGCTGGCAAGTGGCTTTTTTCTTTTCATCAACAGTTAGGAAGATCTTCATGGCCTTATAGATAGTTTTCCTGTGAAGATCTCTGATCACACTATTACCCCTTCACGGTACACATCCCAGTTTGTAATTGTATACGTCCATGTGTATTCTCGTTTAATGCCTAGACTGTCAGCCCTGTGATAGCATGTCTGTTTTGCTTACGGCTGTGTCCCCAGCACCTGGCACAGGCCTGGCACATAGTAGAGGGTTAGTAACGAAATCATTGAATGAATGAATAAATAGCAAGGTAAAGAGCAGTGGGGGCTTTGAAGTCAGACAGGCCTAGGTTTCTGCATCTCAGCTCTGTTGGCATCCTGATTGTGTGGCTGTGGGCAGCCTGGGCTCTCTCCACCCTTGTTGCCACCACTGTGGGTCAGGCCCCTGAAACCTCTTCCCTGGATCTTGCAGTGGCCTCTGACCTCCCTGTCTTCCTCACTCCCTGCCTTCCCCCGCCCATCTGTTCTCCATACCTCACTTTGAAGATCTTTATAAACCTATCGTGTCACAGTCCAGTGGCTTCCCAATGTTCTTAAGATGAAAACGTACTCTTTCGTGGTCCCACGAGGCCCCATGTGGTCTGCCCTCTGCCTGCCGTGCCAGCCCCGTTTCGTACGCACCAGCTCTTGCCTGTCCAGCTGATCTCCACTCTGCGTCATGGATTTCCTACTGCCTTTGCACCTCATGTTCCCTTGATTTGGCACACTTATCCCTGCGCTCCTTCTTCATTTTGACTTAGTTACATCCTTTTTTTTTTTTTTTTTCCCCAGACCTCAGCTTAGTCATTGCCTCCCCAGGGAGGCCTTCCCTTGATGTCCCTGACTAGTCAGTTTTCCCTTTTATCCATCTCCTAGCACTACAACTTCTCCTTTGTGCTGTTTTTTGTAGATTCTTTGACTAGCTCTTCCTCCCACTAGACAGGGAGCCTTATAAGGGCAGGAGCTACATTGCTTTCATTCAGCATTATATCCCCGGTGCTTGGCCAAGTACTTGGCACATATGAAGTTGGTGCTCAATACATGTTGAACAAATGAATAAATGAGCTTATTTCATCATTAGGAAGATGGGGGAATATTGCTGACCTTGCGTGAGGATTAAATGAGATGATGTCTTAAAGCTTCCAGCATCCATGAAGACTGGGCTTATGTGTTGGTTCAGTACACATTAGGGTCCTCTGCTCTCGGAGACTCTGGAGCTCTCTGGAGGTGACATGCCCAATATCTTCTTCTGGCAG